GAAGCAGCGTGTGCGGTCGCCGTCGCCGCGCGGCAGAGCAGGGGCGCGCGTCCCCGCCGTCGCCCAAGCCCGGCCCCGGAGCCCCGAGGGCGCGGTAAACACTTGGGAAGGAGCGACGGCGGAGGGAACTGGGGGGCTTTCCCTGCGGCGTTCCCACGGAGGCTCACGCCGCGGCAGAGAGCCCGAGCCGCAGGTGTTCCTGCACGTGCACAGGTTAGCACACACGGGCCAGACGACGGTGCCCCGCAGGGCCTGCGCTAAGTGCTATCCAGGACTTCAGTCAAACACGCCTAGGTTTTAAATCACCCACTCAGAAGCTGGGCACCCTCGGGAAAGCTAATCTCCCTGGGCCACAATGAACTCATCTATAAATTTAAAATAATGAAACCTACTTCGTAAGATTATTGTGAGTATTAACTGCTTTACACAGCCCTCTGATGCTCAGGGTAGTGTGTGGTGATTGTTATTTGTATGGTTACTGATCTAGCAAGTAATAAGAATGGCTGCCTTTTCACCAGAGAACAGCCTTAGTGCAAATCCTCCTTCCGTGGTGCTGTAACCTGCTGCTCAGCGAGTCAGCTGAAGGCAGCTCCTACCCGTCTTCTGTACCCTTAGAAGCAGGTCTTGGTTTGGTTTGGTTTTTAAAATCTGTAAAACTGAATCAACTCTTCTGCGGGTTGGGTTTCTGTGGTCATGTCTTCATTAACAGGTGCTTATTTTATTCATGTCAAAGGCAATGAACAGTTTGAGGCCCCTTGCCGTGTACTGCCTCTTCCTGATTTCTTCCTACACCTGTCTCAACACACTCTCAGATCTTTTGAGAACTTCGTTTCTGGCCTGCACACAAACCAGCAGTACAGTGACATGGCACCAGAGGGACCCAGACTGGAGTCCCAACCCATGCACTTGCATTTTCTGCACCTCAGTCCTATCAACTGTAAACTGGAGAATAATGTCTTGTGACATTGGGAGAGAAGCAATCTAGTGTATAAGCAAAGTCCCTAGAACACATGGGTGTTTAGTGAAGGCACTTAGTGATTAATTTATTTAACAAGTACCTACAGAGCATCTATGTGTTGTAGGTACTGGAAGGCTAAGGGAAGCCATCATATGTGAGGTAAAGTTCTTCCCCTCAAAGAAATCTTAGCTGTAGTGGATGAGACAAGCACACACATAAACGTCTTTGCACAGAAGGGATGTGGCTGAATATGGAATTAGTAAGTCTCAAGATCCAAATTAAGGCCATGGTATTACAGTGGGGAGTGCTTTAATCCATTATTGCAAATGTTGTTTTCCTCTAAATATTATGTATGTAATTTCTCAAAGCCACTGCTTAAAATTAATAACTTTATGAGGCAAGCAGAGCCATTGATGTAGGATTTAGTCCCTTAGGCGACTCAAATGTGCCCTTATACTAGTAATAACCTGTATATGGTGTCTGGGTGAAAGTGCCATAATTTACAAGTTAGTTGCTTGCATATCTTGCAATCCAAGTCTGAGACAGAAAGTTTGCACATTGTCACACTAGTGGCTTCTAATGGCCACACACTAACCAAGGTGCTTTTGTGTGGTATCCTTCCACATAAACCATGTGTCTTGCTTTGGCCCCTGGGATATGCACAAATATAGCATTTGATGAGCTAACCATGTGTGCCTTGCTCGGAACTCTTTTGGAATGGTGCCCTAAGCTTGCGGTGAAGAAACCTGGCCCAACCTCCTTCAAGATGAAAGGCCCCTAAGGAGAGAAAGACTTGCCCTGCCAGCCCTGCCAGCCCTGCCACCTGTCAGCTAAATTCAGTCACATGAGTGAGTGAGCCCCAGGCAATGACGCCAAAATAACCCAGTCAACCCCAGAATTGTGAGAGTCACTAAGTGTTGGCATGGTTTGTTGTACAATAGATAATTAATGGACATACACTCAGGCATTTTTACAGTTACAATGTCTTGGTGAAATTCATCTGGAATCAGTACTCTTGCTAATGTTTCCATGATGCATTCAATTGAAGTTACTGTGCCTAAATTTAGCAACTGTCACATTTTATGTAAATACCCTCTTTCCGAGTTCTTCACTGAAATAGTTACTGAGCCTAGTACCACAGTTTCAAATCCTTTTGCAGTCAACATGAAAATGGGCTTGCAAAATTAGCTTGTGAGCTACCAAAAGCTTTAAACAACTGCTTGGAATGGCAACAAGCAGGCATCATGAGCTTGGGTGTGTTTATCTCTCTCCCTTTATTTAAGCTCCTTAGTGACAATTAAAGTTATTGGTAAGGTTTCATGACAGGTCACAAAACATCAAAGAAGCAAGAAAGATCACTTAATTTATCACCTCAATTTACTTTGAGGTTTTTTTTTTTTTTTTTGGTTTTTCTCTGGTACCGGGAACCGAACTCACAACCTTGTACTTGCCAGGCAGGCGCTTTTGCCGCTGAGCTAAATCCCCAGCCCCTTATCACCTCAATTTAGATAAGGACACTGGAGCTAAGAGAGATGATAATAGTCTCATACATTCCCTGAGTCTTATAGCTTGTTCTGAGCACAATTGGGATGACCAATTCTAAGTTTTTTACACTGGTAAACGGGTCTCTTTTTCCTTTTTGATGTATGTTGCTATTTAAAATATTTTTCCCACTCTCAAAGTATGTCTACAACATTCCTTTGTATTTAGGATGAGATCCCAATTCTGAATATAGCCTCCCAGCTCCGCGAGTTCTGGTGCAGCTTGGCCCTGCAGAGGCATTGTTCTGCTCCGCCCCACAGCACACTCTGCCCTAATGTCTACTGCCCTACAGCCCTACTGCCCCAAACCAGTAAGCTCTGCTCTGCTTCAAGCCCTGTGCTCATAGTGTTCCTTCTCCTGACCTGCTCTTTCCCGAACTCTTCACTTTGCTAAATCCTGTTTGTCAGAACCCACTAAAGTTGCAAGCAATGAAAAACAATTTGGGGGTAGTGTAAACAAAAATTTAGTTCCCAGGTAGGTAACTCACAATCTCTTCAGTCAAGTTTCAGAGAGGTCAGAAACCAAGACAGCTCAGGAATGTAAGGAGGACACAACTCATAGAGGCTCAGCTACTAAAATAACCCATATAGTTTGCTTCTCTCATTGCATCACTCTCTCCCAGAAAATTGGCCTGGCCTCACTTGGTCACATGCTCTCCCTCAGCCAGAGGACACTTTGAATCAAAGTCCACAAAGATGACCCTTAGGGTGCTATTACCAGAGGAAAGGGAAGTTCGTGCAAGATGACAGAAACAATGAACGGCTGCTCCACAATCTCTCAGGTCTTAGTTTAAATGTTATCTTCCCAGGGAAACTTTTCTTTTTTTTGTTGTTGTTTTTTTTGTTTGTTTTTTTCTCCGGTACCGGGAACCGAACTCAGGACCTTGCGCTTGCCAGGCAGGCGCTTTGCCGCTGAGCTAAATCCCCAGCCCCACAGGGAAACTTTTCTTAACTGCTCTGTCTATGACACTTCTAATTTTTTCTCTGTTTTTCACATTTTATAATTATATATTTCTTTCTCTCATGTTTTCCCTGCATAGAGGAAGAACTGTGTTTGTCTATCACTATACATCACCACCTACTCCGAAGCCTGGTGCATGACAGATTGTCAATGAGTATTTATTGAAGGGATGAATAAATGAATGATACAGGTCTTATGGGTCTTCTGACTTGGTTCACATGACATTAACTTTGTAGAAATGGATGCAAAAAGATGAAGAGACTATGGTAAGTATAGATTGTAGAAGATCCACTCTGTGGGTTTCCATGTGGTGCTATGGTGAAGACCAGGACAAGCACCCAGAATAAATGAGGAAATGCCGTACTGTGCATCAGAGATAAGCCATGTTGACCGTGGTGTGCTGTTCTTCAGGGATGATTTATCTATGAAGTGAAGATGGGAGAGACCTAAAATGATGAAGTCTGTGTGCCTCTGAATGTTTGTAGAAGTAGGAACCCTCACAAGTGAAATTGGGTTTTTGGTCTGGATGCAGCTTCCAGGAGCTTAGGTCAGCAATGTGTGTTCATAAACCTGCTCCCTCAGCTCTGTCTGTGCTCAGTGGTACATTCCCTACAGTGGAAGTCTGACACTTGTGGAGGAAGGTCCATGGAGAGTTTCACTAGTAGGGATAAAATGAGACTAATAAGAGCAATGCTAAGCTAAACATGTTCACTTTTTGTATGAATTAGCAGTATAGTTAGAATGACTTGAGTATTGAGTTTTTGTTTGGGTCCTTTTTTGGCCAAGCAAAAATTTGACAATCTCAGTTTCCCCACAAAAAAATGCTTTTGTAGTATTACTAGTTCATAAAACCTA